TCACAGGAGCAGCTTAAACACACCTTCCCGGAAGACCTCAAGCTACTTCATAATTGCTCACATAATGTGTGTACAAAGTTAATTTTTACAGGTAAGTGCACATCTTTTAAAATAGACAGTACTCTATTACTCTGCCAAATACCCCACGTATTTGGGTAGCCAGTCCCCGCCTTAAAAGTAAGTGCAGCATTTTTTAATTGTTTGGCCAATTAATTTTTAGTCCTCAGCCTCATTTAAAATTGAGTTCTGAGCTCTTCAGAGTAGTACATTCATATAAGATTTACCTAGTTCTGATTATTTAACCAACTCAACACATGTGAGCACTCCGGTGACCTCAAAGGTCTAACATCCCTCAAGTACTCTTGTTAAGTAAGAGGTGAGGTATTTCTAGCTCAATGAAGAATTTCGGGGACTGCGATACATTAGGAAAAAATTAATTCTAACAGGGATGGGGAATATGGGTTACACAAATGCAACCGAACATTTCCTATGGCTTTTCTCCTACATTATTACCGATGAGGGGGAATGACAGTCAGTCTTTGCAGACTTTAAACTTACAGCAATAAAGAGATATTTCTTAGAAACATTAAGTGTCATTATTAATCATCATCCTAAGGGGTATCCAAGAAGTCATCCTGTTCTCACAGAGGATGAGCTCATCCCAGCGTGTGCAGATAAAAACATCTAAAGAACAGGATAAAAATAATCTTCCTTATGGCGAGTCAACAAGTGTAGCTTGTTCTGAGCTGCTGTGAAATACATGTGTTTCGATATCTGTGTCTCCAAAGGGGGTAGATGACTCAGTGATTTCCAAGGTTTGCTCTGCCAGAAGGGTTTCAGGTGGGCTCTGGGGGCTTGCAGGGGCGGGGTGGGGGGGCACTGAAGGAAAGGATGGGGGAGGCACCTTCCGGGCAGGGTTCTCCAGTCCCTCTCCTTCAGTCCTCCTGAGCCAGAGGAGGACTGCTTTGTTTTACACACAGGGTTTCTGCGCAGGGTTTTATTGGAGAAGATATTGCTTTTATCATTTCACTTATATGCGGAATCTAAAGAAAATAAAATAGAAACAGACTCAAGAGATACAGAGAACAGACTGACAGTTGACAGAAGGAAGGAGGGCTGGGAGACTGGGTGAAAAAGGTGAAGGAATTAAGAAGTACAAATTGGTAGTTACAGAATAGTCACAGAGATGTAAACCACAGCATAGGGAATATAGTAAATCATATCATATAATTATGTGTGGGATTAGGTGGGTACTGGAAATATTTTGGGGGACCACTCTGTAAAGTATAGGATTGACTAAACACTATGCTGTACATCTGAAACTGATGCAGAATAATATTGATAATACTGAATATAAACCATAATTAAAAAATAAGATAAAAACCTTCATGAGACTTCTATTTAAACATGGCATACTGAACACAGCTATTGAATCTCTCCTCTGAAACCCTACTACTATAATGATAAAGGAAGAAAAAAGATGTAAACCTACACAAAGAAAACGGAAGAGTTGATAATAGCACACAAAAGAGTTTGAAAAAATTTGGGAGATAAAATGTAGATGGATGAGAGGTATCTGACAACACCTGATGGGACTACCTAGACCAGAGGTCCTCAAACTACGGCCCGCGGGCCACATGCAAATACAAATATTGTATTTGTTCCCGTTTTGTTTTTCTACTTCAAAATAAGATATGTGCAGTGTGCATAGGAATTTGTTCATAGTTTTTTTTTTAAACTATAGTCCGGCCCTCCAACGGTCTGAGGGACAGTGAACTGGCCCCCCGTTTAAAAAGTTTGAGGACCCCTGATCTAGACCCTCACCTTGCTCTGTTTGTACCATATCCAGAAACCAACTCCTAATTTACTACAGGCTTTTTAAAAAATCAACACTTTTAACTCTTGGATTGATATTTAGGTTAGTGACTTTTGGACATTGGGGTAGAAGAAAATTTTTTTAAATTTTAGACACAGAAAAGCTTGACTCTAAAAGAAAAGTTTGATAAAAATTTACTGTATTGAAATTAAGAACTTGTGGTCATAAAAGATACATTGAAGAATTGAAAAAATAAGCTACAACCTGGGAGGATATTCTTGCAATACCGACAACGTATTAAGGATTAGTATTATGACTACACAACTTTGATAAATTAACTTTAAAAAGCACAGAGAATCTGGTAAGACCCGAATAGAAACTTTGCAGAAGAGGAAACAGGATGTCTAATAAACACAATGAAATACCTTATTATGTCCATTGAATTAACCAAAGTTTAAAAGAAATTGGCAATATCAAGTGTTAGAAAAGTTATGGGTCCACAGGACCTCTGAGACATTGCTGGTAGGCATGAAACTTGTTGCAACCATTTTGGAAATCAGATCGGCATTATAGTCTAAACGTGAGCATTCATGCATTTTCCTAGCAGTTCCCCCCTTAGGTATACACCAAAGAGAAGCTCTTGCACACAGAGAGGAAAGGACACATACAAGCACATTTATAAGCAGCGCTGTTTACAAGAGCGAAACCTTTGCAACAACCCAATGCCCATCATCACAAAAGTGGCAGAAGAAACTGATTATATTCACACAGTGGAATCTGATATAGCAATCGAAATCACAGACCAGCAAAAAGAAAAACGGGGCAATTTTAAATCCAGGACAAACAACATAATTTCTCAAGTAATCATAGATTAGCATATGGCTCGGTGTGAATAATACAGGAGCTTAATAAAGTCAACATTGAATAGTTATTTGACCTCAAGTTGTGAAATGGCCATGAAGAGAACAGAGTTTGGAATATACTATAGATATATCTGTGAAGGGGCAGTAAAAGAGAGTTAAATCCCAAATTTCCACAGAAGGTGGTCAAAAGGTGGTTATTTAAAAGCAATCACTAAGAAGAGAAGCATTTTACTTAGAGATATGCAGGCAAATACCAGAAAAACGAAGAGTTAAAAGTTTCTGGAGAGGGAACAAGGATAGAGGGCTATTATTTTTATTTTATGTTATTATATGCCTTGCAGTTTTCATTGATTCTATTTCACTTTCACAGCCATATATATGTATGCATGTGTGTGCATGTATATATCTGTATCTGATCTATATCTATATCTATATCTATATATCTATATCTATATTTATATCTATACCTATATCTATCTATTGAACTAACTTTTATTTAAAAAAAAAGAATCTTCCATTTGGACCCAATAGATCTGACATTGCTGAGCAGAGAAATAAAGTTTCTAGAAGAAAACTTTTTGGCATTTTGGGGAACTTTAGAGGGCAGTAGCAGAAATCTATGAAAACTTATGGTCCAACCCCCTCATTTTACAAAAATGAAACTAAGGCGTGATAAAACCAAGTTTCAAAATTAGAAGCTCAACTAAGACTAATCCTCAGGTGCCCAGGTGCCCAGGCCTGAGCTCTTCCTGCCGCACCCCACTGTGGGGGGACCAGGTGGCTCTGCAGCAAAGGGAAGGCTGACCCCCCAGCTCTGAAATGGCACATGAAAAGCGTGGGAATGAGGAAGAGGCGCCTCAGCTCTGCACGGGCTAACTCACCTGCAGTGACCCTAAACATGCATATATGTGAGCATGCGTGTGCTTTCTGATTCTTGCTGATTTAGATGAGTCTACGGATCAGACCGAAGTACAAGGAGTAATGAGAGCCAGAGAAATGTAAATAGATATGAAGGTGCCTAATTCCAGGCTTCAGGTGAAGGACAGAGTGGACATCTATTGGCTGAGTGAGTGTGTAAATGCCATCATGTGTCTCCCACCCCTGGCCTAACATGGCGAAATTAGCTAGTATTTATCCGGGGAGTATTTACTCTTAGAGAGCCCAGAGGAAGACGCAGGCATTCCAACCAGAAACAGCCATTTGAGGAGGCATCAAGAGAACACTGATGGGTCTTCAGTTACTACCACCTTTATTAAAAAAAAGTTCTATGTGTTTTAACCACTCTGAATATCTATATTTATAACAGTTAATTTTTGAGATTGTCTATATCCTCACATAGCAAAGTGTCACTGATGGATGGGCAGTCTGGACATCAGCTGGGAGCTTGTTAGAAATACAGCATCTTGAGCCCCACCCAGACCGAGTGACTCAGAATTTAACAAAATCCCCAGGGTTTTCACATGCACATTACAGTTTGAGAAGTTCTGGCAGATAGCCTTATTTTCAGGTAAAATTATAATTTTAATTGGAGTTGGAGGCTATGCAAATAATCAAAGATATCCTGAAATAGTGATAAATAAGCAATGATATCTTGAAATAAATTAAGATCAACAAAAACTGCCTGGCCCGGCTGGTGTGGTTCAGTGGTTGGATATCAACCTATGAATCAGGAGGTCATGGTTCGAATCCCGGTAGGGGCACATACCCAGGCTACAGGCTCGATCCCCAGTGTGGGGCGTGCAGGAGGCAGCCAATCAATGATTCTCTCTCATCACTGATGTTTCTGTCTCTCCCTCTCCCTTCCTCTCTGAAATCAATTAAATATATATATATATGGAAAACCGCCTGGAGGACAAGCTAAGCTCTGTAATAAACATCAAATGCTCACAGTGGGAACTGTATTTCTCAGCTATGGTATTTACTATAATCAAATGGAAGAGGGGAGCAATGCTGGGTGCTTTGGGACTGCTTAATGGGAAATCTGGTGATCTGCCATGCTTCTCTAAGCATCAGCCGCTTTGGAGTGTGCCCTGATTCCCCCATCACAGTGCAAAAACATTACTGTGTCTTGAAAAAAAAAAAGAAATATAGAAATCTGACCTCAGGTGGCTTGGCAAACTGGCCAAAAAAAAGCCCCAAAACGAAACCCCAATAAACAAACCCAACAAATGGGAGAAGTCTGTCCAGAATCCAAATAAAGTTGATAGTATTATGAAAAAAAATACTCAAGGACTTAAAGGATATCTTTTATTAGACAAGTGGTCAGATGACAAAACCCATTAGGTACACATATCAGAGAATCAATTCAAAGGAACACTCACCGAGAGGAAAGGCTTGGCTTCCCACTTTTGCTGCAGCTGGTATAAATTCCTGGGCCATCATCAAAGAAGCTCCCGAGTGCCAACTTCTGTCGGATAGATTCTCTCTCATTTTTCTGTGCCTAAAATTTCAGGAAAATAAAAAATGCCGATAAGCGGGCAGATACATCACAACCATAGGCGGTCTAACTGCTAAGTTTCTTAGAACTGTAACAGTAGATGAAAAATAAATACATAGGCCACAGCCAAGAGCATTTGAATTATTAAGAGTTGGAATTAAACCAGCCTCTCCTGGTTCCACCTCTGCGAGCAATTTCAGTTCTTTGGAGCCTTTCCGATCATTAGTCTAGGGCAGCGGTTCTCAACCTGTGGGTCGCGACCCCTTTGGGGGTCGAACGACCCTTTCACAGGGGTTGCCTAAGACCATCGGAAAACACATACATAATTACATATTGTTTTGTGATTAATCACTATGCTTTAATTATGTTCAATTTGTAACAATGAAGTTGGGGGTCACCACAACATGAGGAACTGTATTAAAGGGTCGCAGCATTGGGAAGGTTGAGGACCACTGGTCTAGGGAATCACCATTGTGGCGCTAAAGATCTTCACCAGCATTGAGCTAGATTTCCTGGAGCTGTGATCTTTCTTCTTATCTCCACAGAGTAACGCTGTGGAGGGCAAGCATTTCGTCCTAAATCAAATTGCTTTTATCCCAAACGGGGGGGGGCCTCTCCCTGATTCCTGTCTTCTCTCTTCCTTTGATCATCCCTTCAGCCCACTTTGTCTACAGCAAGAACATTTTCACTCATTCATTCAACCAGGATGCACTGAACCTCTATGAGAAGGGGGTGCCACACTATGGTGCAGGGACAGGGTCCTGGATGGATGGACACAGCCTCTGCTGCCACCATGCTCTGTCTCGTTTCTGTTCAAGACTCATCCTGATCTCACCAGGCTCAGAATATGAGATGCCCTAACATACTGTGTGGAAGAGCTGGAGAATTCTAACTGAACCCATCTGGTTCATATTTTGAAGGGAAGTCAGGTCGGTGTGCACAGTAAAGGATCTGGCAAACGGCACTACGGAGATAGTTTGGGTATGTTTACAACACTCGGCTTCCCATAAAAGTCCCATAAAAACTCACCATGCTGAACTTTTAAACCCTTTAAACAACAGGAGAGACGATCAGGAATGATTTCCTTAGTTAAAAATAAAACAACTACGAAAACGAACATCATGAGTTAGAAATCCTGGGTGAGAAAGAGGCCCTGGTTTTGTTTTGTGGGATGATGAAGGCTGTGAGCAGCATCGCTGTACGTTCTGAGCAGGGAGGCTAAAGACTGTGCTGAGCAAACTAGATTACAAAACACAGCTCACGTGTCTGGGGGTGGCTACAGAAGGCACAGTGGCCCCTTGATCCTTCCAGTAGGAGGTTCTGGAGCCACATCTGCTGCCACCAGAACCCAGAAGTTAACCGTGAAAGGTCTGAGCCATCATCTGAGCGTCACTGTGACGAAACGCACACCTGCTGGAAGGATGGGCTGAAAATGGCTTCATTTCACCCGCAAGTGGAGGGCAGTGCACCTAGGTCAAGGCTGCTCTCACATGGTAGAAATTCTTCACACGTGGCTGTTTACATTCTAATTAAAATTGATTAAAATAAAAGTTCCATTTTTATTTTATGAGCTGCATTTGAAGAGCTTCATAGCCACAGGTGGACAGCACAGAATAAATATATGTCAGAGCAGTACCGCTGAGCCAGTACTTCAACAGCTTCAACAGCTGCGTCAGAATTTCCTGTAGAGACTTTAGACATTCCCAGTGCTTCTCAGCCTTTTGGCTAAGATCATGTGTAAAATATACATTCCCTCGGTTCTAGGACCAGATATTTTGTTTAAACAGATTTGAGAGCTTCTAATTCAAGGAAAGCTCATCTCTATTCTCCTTTCCTCTAACATTGTAAGTTCTTGGACCCTGTAAGCATTATTTCAACTATCGTAGTTATCAATGGCATATCTATCTATCTATCTATCTATCTATCTATCTATCTATCTATCCATCCATCCCATTTTGGCATATACTAAGGGAAGTGTGTCAGTAGATACTGTGTGTGAGAGAGAGAGAGAGGGAGGGAGGGAGAGAGAGAAGAAGAAAAAGAAGAAGAAGGAAGACAAGGAGAAGGAGGAGGAGGAGGAGGAGGAGGAGGAGGGAGAAGGAGAGAGAGAAGCAGGGAGAGACATCTTATCATGTATATGATACATATATGTGGACTTTGCCCATACCCCTGACCCACAGCTCCTAAAACTCTTGCAATTTCCTAAGTGATGAGGACACAGGTGTCTTGTTATGTGAATGAGGTGACTTTTGGAAAGTACCTAAGGTGGAGGCTGGTTGTCAGGAGAACCCACCATGTGACTAGTGTTGGAACTTGCAGTCTCTGCCTCTCTCCCCACCTCTGGGGACGGGGTTTGAAGAACTTAGTGAACACATGGACATGTGGGGAGAGTGGGGCATGTGGACAGGGCACTGAAGCTCTGTGCCCCTTCCCACACTCCTTGCCCCATGTCTCTCTTCATCTGGCTGATCCTGAGTCATAGCCTTTTCTAGTAAACCAGTGTTCTGGTAGGTGACATGATCCTCTGAGTCCTGTGAGCCATTCTAGAAATTAATTGAACCCAAAGAGGGGGGTTGTGGGAATCTTTGACTTGCAACTGGCATCTCAAGTGTGTCTGTGTCAGGGGGCGGGGAGTCTTCTGGGACGGAACCCTCTGGGCAGACAGCGTCATAATTTAGTTTAATTCTTGGGCACCCTGCTGGTGTCCAGAACCATTTGTTGGTGTGGGTGCAGGGAATTCCCCCACGTTGGAATTGGGTCTGGGAACCCTAATTTAGTGTATAATACAGCCACAAAGCAAAAGTCTGCTTTTACACAGTTACAGCTGATTTCATGTGGTTTATTGGGCTAGCACAGCACTGAGCTCCGAGAAAATAGCCATGAGGTTGTAAGGGAAGCCAGAATGCCTTTAATTTCATAAATACTTGTGAGTGCACTGCTGGGAACCTTAACTAAAGAAACCCACCCTTTCAAACAAGCAGGGCTGGAACTGGTGATGGCCCTGCCAAAATAGAACCCTATCAATCGTTATTTAAAATAAATTCATTTCAAAATCTCCAAATCTGCCATGAAGATTGAATGTAGTCAGTGAGCCTGTTTCTCAGTTCATACAATAGACAAAAGAGAGTCTCACTCAATGTCATCTAATCAGAAAACTGTTGAATGGAACTGAGTACCCAAATATAAAAACAGTAGATAACAACAGATCCTTAATGTCTTATGCTCAACAACTCGCTGGTGTCCAGCTTTAGCCTGGGGTCTGGAAGAGGTTTATTTGAAGAAGACACCTGCTCCAGGTGTGAATGTGTGAACGTGCCCTAGATTCCATGTCTGCCTTTTCTGATCTACTTGAGCTATAGATGTAGGAGAAGGCCTTAAAACGAATTCTATTTACACGAATTACAATTCTCTCTACCCAAATACTTCATTAACAGTGTGAAGGGGACTGTTCTATAATACACCATCTTTCCCCCCTTCTCTCTCTCTGGATCCAACAAATCAAGAAAAGCATAAAGAATATAAATGTCATGCACAATCCCACCACTTAGACACAGAACACTGCTAACATTTCAGTATATTTCTCTGTAGTTTTTAAATCTTAATGTGTGCATTTTTTCTTCTTCTTATAAAATTGAGGTTATAGTGTTTATTGTATTTTGAGAATGTCCCTCATTTCATTTAAAATTCTTTAAAAACAATTTTTTTAAGGGCTGTCCATCGCTCTACCCTATGTTAACCATTTAGGCTACATCCAATGAAAAGCAACCTAAGTTAGCATTTTTACATAAACCCTGCACACATGTCGGATTATTCCCTCAGGATAAATTCCTGGAAGTGGAATTACCAGATGAGCTCTGTGCGAACATTTGTTGAGGCTCTGGACACATTCTGCCACATGACTCCACAGAAAGCTGCTCCAATTTACATGCCCACGAGCCACGCAGAGGGTACAGCTTTCTCTTACATCCTGGCTAACACTGAGGATTTTCACTTAACAAACTGCTGTCACTTTAAATTTGATAGGTCGGTCAAAGGCATTCTTTTTATTTTAATTTCTTTACCAATGAGATTAAATATTTAAATATTTTTAGTTATAGTACTTGCTTTCCTCTGAATTTATTTACTCCTAGCTTTGCTTATTTTTCTATAAAGGTCTGAGAGTTTTGAAATTTTTATATCAAGGGTCTCAGTCCTTTTGAATTTTAAGTCTAACTACTCTGCAGTTTAAGTCTATAGCTTGCTTCCTCTGTCCTGTCTTTGATGTCTTTGTGCTTGCACAGCCCTTCCCAGTCCAGAGGTAAAGGATCTCACTTGACATTGGAGGATTAAATGAGAGAATTTAAGTAACCTCTTTAGCAGCTGTACCTGGTCCCTGCTCATGTAAATTTACCATCAATGGTAGCTGTTGTGGCTAATCCTCCAACAATTCCTGCTTTGAAGGTGAGGAAAGGAGGGGATGGAAGGTTACCCACTGATATCGAGGAGTTAGGACTCCAGCCCATCCTCCCAGCACTACGTCTTTCTGCTCCTTCACACTGATGAGTAAGATGCCCCAGCTGGACACTGCGCTGGGGACACAAGGTGAGAATTAAAGAGCTAGAGATCCACGACTTTCCTGAGATGGATGTGATGCTTTCCCAGGGAAGGAGAAAGCCCTGGGCTGCAAAGCATATACCAAGGCCTAATCACAACCACAGATATTTACAACACAAACACCCTCTCATCAGAGCCAGTCTCCTTGACACCACTGCTCACTCTTCCTTTGGGAACAAATGTGATTCCCAATGTTTCAAGTAATTATGATGCAACTGACTAGCAAATACTTTTTCTCTTAAAATTCACACACTGGAACCCAATTTCCTTTTGGTTGCCCATATGTGCAAAGTGTGTGTGTGTGTGTGTGTGTGTGTGTGTGTGTGTGTGTGGTTTCAAACCCTTTTGTTTTCTAAGAAATTACACCTGCAGAGCAAGTATGTCCTCCAACCCCCTCCTCCCAAAGCCCA